TTTTTTTCTTTTATTCTGTTTGTTAACTTTTCATGAAAATTCATTTCTTTTAGATTCTTCCATTTTTACGATCTTCATATGGATATTCACGTGAGATTTTATTACCTAATATAGTTAGAACATCATCATCACTTTTATCTTCTACGCAAACAAATGAACAAACTGTTAAAGTATCTTCTTCAACATCATCACTTAATACGATGGGTACAAAAACAGTAACAAATACAAATAATGATAATCTTGGTTTAACAAATGATTCGAAACGACGACCAAGAGTTGCTGATTAGGACATTTTTTTTTCTTCGTTCTTATTTTGCCAACAAAATCAAATACTCATTTTTGTCGAGTGATCATTCTTTTTTTTTCTTCTTCCGCATATCTAGTTCTCTATAGTCATGTTGCTTTTCTCTTCTCTGTTTCGTTAATTACTAGTAAAAGTTACGTATCCGTTATGTCTAATATTTTTGCAACAAGAAATATTCAATGCAATTATATCATTCAGTAAAATTTTAACTTTATGTCACTAATCAAACCAAACTAAACTTGGTCATAAATGATATTCAACTCTTCTATAAAGTAATTCATGACTAATATAATATGAGAAAAATTTTTGCTTTTAGCATTCAAGAAGTGAAACGAAATTTATGCAAATAAGTTGTTCATATTCCAATTTGTCGAGAGATACTGCATCCTTAATATCCTCAATGAATGACCAAACTCAAACTTTCATACGACAAACTATATAATAGTCATCCACAGTGAATAGACTTAGCTTCAAGCAGAAGTTATGTCTTTTCATGGTTCTATTTGAAACATAATTATTTATGTTGTGATGGATGTTAACAATCAGAATATTTTTTTTCTGTACCAAATGTTTTTCAAACAATTTCTTATCATATCTGTTTCTTTTATCAGTCAACAAACATACCTAGATAATTATAAGATCTATCAGTCTTTGTTTCAGTGGAAGTATATATATATATATATACATACTGACTGATGATGCACTGACGAGGGAATGTTTCTTAGTGTCAAATCGCTATTGAATTGGAGCTATGTGTATCAGGTAAGTTCCAATGAGCTATGAATATTCTGAATGGAGTTCTCTCTAATAGCTTATTACTGCCGTGATACTGTATTTTTTATAAATAGAGTGCTACAATCTCCCTTAGGAAAACTAAGTTTCGATTTTTGACTTGAACTTTTGCATAAAGATAGGAGAATTTAAGGAGAATATTACATATTTTTCACACTGCTCATATACAACGGCAAATTCTGATATTCGTTTCTCCTGAAACTCTGTAGTCAGTTGAGTCATACGATGAACGTTCTTCTAGATCTCTTGTCTATAAATGAATGTTGTAACAGTATCATAAATTTTACGAAATGCAATGCACTTGGTTCTATCGAAGATTCTCATCCATTCAATGTCATAATTGACTTACCAAAAGGATACAACTTTCTTTTTATTTATAAAATATATAGATGAGCAAATGGTCTTATATATATTATTCTATAAACTACTTAAACTTATCAGCTCTAGAATTTTCAAACAGACGGCAAAATGGAAGATCGTATTTACTAACTGCTATCATACGTCATTATTCCTCAATAAAAACAGAAACCTACCTTTTCCTATACAGTTAATACTGTATCAAGAGAACAGAAGCAGAAGACTAACACAGAATAACATAGTCAAACGTAGTATATAAAAATGAGTGCTGTTATATCGGATGATCCATCATCATTCATATCTGAATGAAGAATGAGATGAGAAAGTAATAGAATGAAAAAGGGCAACCGTGTTTTAAAATATGAAGTCACGCATTATAATCGAATGGAACGACACTTTTTTTTCAGATTATTTGACAAGAATCCTTTTTTCTATCTCATGATCACCCTACATGTTTAATACTGATAAATCTTATTTTCGACGATCTTTCACTGCATATATAATTTATTGTTTATGGTATTTGAAGTTATAGTAATACTTTCGAGAAAAGTATATTTCCCTTCTTATGTAATTCATATATATGAACTTTGAATGACTTCTATAAGCAGATGTTTACTGAATACGAATAATTTCCTAAGTGATAGAAATCAATTTATTGGGTTAGACAAGCAGATTGTGAATAATAATATAATCACTAATTTGTTCGGAAGAATTAATCAAAAGACAAGATCAGAACGTTTCTCTTTGCTATTCCAATATTTTTCACGATCGTATTGTTTCTTTCTCGAGCCAGATACAGTTTCGTATCCGTATTTAATTGTGACTAAAACTCGCTGCACGAAGTCAACATACAAGTTACTGCTCGGTCGTGTGGTAGCTGACTCTATTTCGATGGGTTTTGAAACTTCGAATGAAGACACAACCATCCATAAGGAATTCGTTATCCCATTTTCAAATCTGGTAAATTCATCCTTGGAATAATTTCACTTGACTAAACAATAAATTGTACTGCTCGATAGTTCTTTTTTTATTGAGAAAGACATATGTTAACTATTTCAAAACGGTTTCTTACTGAATTTTGATCGAAACGAGCTACGATGCTGAATTGGTAAATGAGGTGCTGCTCCAAAGAAACATACTCTAACAATTGAAAGATTATTTCCATTATTTTCATATTTTAACCTCAAAACAGAAAAACAGAGAATCAGAAAAAACACCACAACATGAAAAAAACAACTGTTACATAAAAATGTACATATTAAACTTCAGAAGCTAATGTTGATAGATGTAAATCCTGATTTATTGATATGATATCTAATAATTGTTTTGTCTCTTGTATAAATGANTTTTATGAAATTAAATCTTAAAATTCGGATAAAAATCTATTAAAAGATAGTTTGATGCTTTTTCTTTATATGTTTGTATTTTTACTTTTCCTGAACGTTCAATTGTTTCATGAACACGATGAATCTGATTTCAAGAAACAAAACAAGACAATTTTGAAAATGAACTTGCAAAAAAAAATCGAACTTTTTCTTCAATTTGTGGTAAACTTGGCGAAAATAGTCCACCAAAAATGATTAAGAAGTTTAATAAATGAGATATATATAGTTTGCATTTCTTCTTGAATTATTTTGAGGAACAATTTCTAGAGTGAAAACAAAAAAAAAAATTTCAAATATATATAATTTAATTAATTTTATGTAGTCTAATTTCGTGATAATGCTTGTGCTGTTATTTCATGGATGAAAATATCACCAGGTGATGTTAAATCTTTAATAATTGTATATGCTAAACATGAATCAAACTCTAGAGAGAAACAAGAAAACTAAATGAGTTTTGAATATAAATATCAGTTCAACAATTAAATAATTCTGCATTAGCGTGTCTCCATGAGTCATGTCTTCTCTGAGATTATTAAAATTAGTTGATATGTACATAAGAAAACTCTTTTATGTGAACGATCTATGGTTGATGCACGTAAGTATCTTTCAGAATTAACTAATTTTAATGTTTAAACATCATACTCGCACATGTTATTTTATTTATAACTTTTTCATAAAAAGAATTCCGAGATTTGTAAACAAATAATTTTTATTAAAACAAAATAAATCAAGAAAAATGAAAACCTCAGACGATAACCAAAGTTTTGAAATTTATCAACCACAGAATAAGAGATAGGCAAGTCAGAGATATTTAATATCCAAGACTAGTCAACAGAAGACTTTACTTGACTTGTTTAATTCTCAACAGGACTGAATTCTATATGCAGATTTCAATAAATATATACCATAGCTAAAACATTAAGACATATCTGATATGATTGTCCTCTAAACTCAATTATATGCCTACACCCACATCAACACCCCAGAAATCTTGAGAAGCTTGTTTCATAGCTTGAATTCACATCGGAGAACCTTATTAGCGTTTAGCTGACTAATTTGGTACAATCATAGGAACAGATTTTCTTTTGTGTAGACAGTCCAAGATTCCTACATATGTTTTGTTGATTTTCATTAGCCATAGTGAAACTTTTTTCTGATAGTTTTCTACTTAACGCTTCATTGTTCGCACGAATGTTGTGCTCTCACGTTTTGACGACAGAACTACTTTCTAATCACAATATGTTAAAAGATTAAAAATATTTTTTTCTCTTTCTCAAATAAATGTATCATTTACAAAGGCTAGTGCAATAAATCATTTTCTGGTTACCTTGATATTTCTATTTCAAGATGGCGGTGGTTTTTTTTTGTACTGCTTCAATGTACATCATGACCCCGATTGCATTCTATTCTGTTGATTTGATGAATCGATACCTGCACTATGAATAAGAGAACAACGACAAAGGACTAATAGAAAAATACAAGTGTGAAGCAGGTGTAGGTAGACTTATTCAGCGAAAAATTGAGGCCATCGGACGTAAATCTACATTGTCCTAGATAGAATAACTCTGAATACAAACTCAAATACGTACTGACATTGCTAGCTTAAGCGATGAAAGGATTATTCATTTAACGAGAACGATGATTGTAACTTAATCAAATATGCTGTTTGTTGATATTACAGGTGAATGATTGTTGAAAATGAATTCACTCGAAAATATGGCATTGAATGTAACCGATCAAGGGTGTGTATCCTCAAGTATATTTATTTAACAAGACATATATAAACAACCACGAAGTTTTAGCCTTCATAACCAATACTCATTTGTAGTATACTGCTCTGGATAAATACTTGTAATTGATCAAAACGATGATCTCTAATTTTATGACTAGTAGTCACCTTTATATTTCTTTTTCTATTCAGATATGCGACTACAACTCCTACTTCTATTTGCTATCCTGATCACCGACTTATCAACTCCAGTACATGGAAAGACTATACAACAGTTTGTAGAAAGTTTGATCACTATTGTCGACAGCGAATCTGGTGGAAAATTGGTCCTCAATAGAACCGCTCTCCGTCGTGCATGGTCGTTTTTCAAAGGCAAATACAAACATTCCTATTCATCGCCTCGTAAGTAGTATTATTTGATCGACCTTATTCTATGCATAAATTTGTAGAAGACGAAAAGAATCGCAATCAAATCTTTCAAGAAAATGTCAAATTTGTTCTTGAATCGAATGACAAACCAGCTGGAACATTCGCATTGGCTTTGAATGAATTTGCTGATTGGACACACGAAGAGTTGGAAAATTACAGAAAAGGTCTAAACCCACTGGAAGAAGAAAAACAGCATTTTGATGATGATAGTGATTCCAAAGAGGATGAAAATGCTGCTCGTCGTGAACTATACGAACTATATCTTCATGATGTCAATAAAAAAAGTTCGAAGCGTCGATATGGTAAACGTTTTATTGAGGATTTGTTTCATGATGTACTACACCCCGATAAGACAAATTATGACAACATCGTTCTGCCTGACTCGTTCGATTGGCGTGAGAAAAATCTTGTTAGCAGTATCAAAAATCAACTTACATGTGGCAGTTGTTATGCATTTGCTACTGTTGCTGTGTTAGAAACACTTTATGCTTGGAAAAATAATTTGTCAGAAGTAATTGACTTTAGTCCACAGCAGCTTGTTGACTGTTCCACTGGAAATAGTGGATGTAAGGGCGGTCTTTTTGGACCTAGCATCCGCTACCTGAAGAAGAATGGTGGTAAATTGTCAACGCTTGCTTCATATCCTTATACCAGTCAAGCAGATAAGTGTCAAACAACTGATACCAATCAAATAAATTTAGGTAAACTACAGTATAGATCGATTCCTACTGGCAATGAAGTAATTCTAGCCAAAGCTCTCACTATTAAAGGACCGATCTTTGTCGGACTTAATACTGATTCAAAATTATTCACGTTTTACAAAGAGGGTATATACAAAGTAGATAATTGTTCTAATAGTCGAGCATCTATGGACCATGCTTTGACTCTTGTTGGTTACGGTTTCGATAAAGAACTTCAACTACCGTATTGGATCATTAAGAATTCGTATGGAGAAAAGTGGGGTGAAAAAGGCTATTTACGTTTGGCAAAAGATAATGGCAACATGTGTGGAATTACAACAATGGCCTCATTTGCAGAAATGACATGAATACACTGCATCTGAAAGACTTTTATTTTAATATTTTAATATTCTATAGTATTTTATTCACTTGAAATAAACTCTATCATTATGTGAAAAGTACGAAAACAATGAGACGAAGAGATAAAGAAGCGATCTTGGATCAATAGGTTGGTTATGTTTTCACTTTCTTCAGCGTTTCAACTATTGAGAATTTCTATCGCATAGAACGCATTTGCTCTCTTGTAGTTGTCAATACAGTTTGTTTTCATCTTGATTGCCGTTTTTGTATGTTTCTACTTTGGAGATGGATGTGGGTTGGTATTGCCTTTATCCACACCCTTTACAAGCATTCGTACGAAAAAGTAGAGTATACTGTCTCAAGGTAAATAAAAAACAGTAAAACCTTCCTTAGATGGGCACCAATAGGACTTTTTCAAAACACCCACCTTACGGAGGTGCCCGTCTTATAGAGTTTACACATATCGACCACTTGTACGTTATCCACTAGCTAAACCATAAACAACAGTCCTACTTATATGTTGTCGATTCACTCTTAGTATTCTGATTGTATTAAAATTGCACTTTTGTCAATTAGAATCTTTTTTCAACTAAGTTTATTTTCTATTGTCTTATTTATAATGAAGTTTTTTGAAAATATTCTGTGATTGAGGTTTGCTTCTTATTGCTTCCATCAATGTAAATGTCGACTAGTTTTGATTTTAAAGCAGCGACAAATCGATGAAGTTCTAGTTGACAAGTACAGGCGAGTAGATGCAATTTTCTCATCAGTGAAGGATAACGACACAATGTCGTTTTTCAATAATTTTGAAAGAAAACAACAAATGATATGACTATTTATACTCTTTTTATCACTGACAAGACAATTAAAACTATAGAGATGAGTTATTTTGTTTGTTACGTCGGACAGAACTTTTCTCTATCCTATTCACACAGAACAACAAAGAGAGACGAAACGAAAAAGAACAATGTAATAATTGGTTTATTCACTATATATGCCCATACAAGAGAAGTTCAATTGTCCAGTACGTCATACAAAATAGTGCCCACTTTGAGAGGTGGGAGATGCCCTTGTTATAGAGGTGCCCATTTATGGAGGTTTTACTGTAGTATGTTAAGAATTGATTTTTGCTAAAAATCATTCTTGTATTGTATCTTATAATAAGGCGAAAAAGTTTGATCTTACAATCACTTATAAGAAGAATTTTTTTTTCTCCTCCAATAAAAGTCTAAAACATTTTTATGAATATTTCCGATGAATAAGAAAACATATAAACTGTCACGATCACAACATTCAGTCAAATATATTATTCTTTGTAAAAAAAAAAAAAGAAAAGAAAACTAGTCTATGATAATAAGCACAATATAATTTGGTTTTGATCAATTAGCTTCAGATAAAATATTTCTTGAATTATAATTGAATTAACAGACAAAGAAGATCATTCAAGATTCCTTCAAGATATTTCATTAAGAACTAAGGACATCTACTGACGACTCTCTTTACAATATAAATACATTAACTAACGAACGAGAGTATTATATACGTGAATCATTCTCGCATTGTTGTGGTCAATATGATATCTTTTTTTTTTCGTGCTGACTCGATAACGATTCATATTTTTGAAATATGTTCATATTTTTTTTTCTTCTTTAGATACTTCCATTATTCCTATGTTTTAGTCAAATAATTTTGATAAAAGAATGATATTACTCGAAGTTTATAATCGTATAATCGAAGAATTATTAACAGTTCAAATTGAAACATTTTTACGAAAAGAAAAATTAGTTGATATTAAAACTGATGTTGTTGGTATGTAATTTGAATATTCTATGAAGAAACAAAAACAAAAGACGACTGTTGAATAAATTTAGATTTTGATGGTGCAATTTATCATGTAACAAGTTCACGTGATAAACCATTTATAGTTAGCATTAAATTAAAGTATTTTCTTGATTTAGAACAACATGGTACTGATGAAGTTAGTTGAAAGATTTCGTTTTTCTTTTTTGTTTCATAATAGTTTTATTTCTTTAAGTTTCTTCGTCGTGAATATGGTGATCTACTTGTTACACCTTTAGAAGGTTATAATGTAACATTATCGTTAGATTTTAATACTCAATTGCCAAAAGGTGATAACAATGAAGTTTGGTTACCATTAGTCCGTAAAATTTCAATGCTTAAAAGAAACTGTTTTGCTGCTGTGTTTGAAAAATATTTTGAATTTCAAATTAAAGGAGAAAAAGAAAAAGGAAATCATAAACGAGCTGTTATACATTATCGTGACGATGAAACGATGTATGTTGATGCATCGTCAGATCGTGTTATTGTGATTTTTTCAACTATTTTTAAAGATTCAGATGATAATATTATTGGTCGAGTTTTTATGGAAGTAAATAAAAAGTTTTATCTTTTTCTTACATATATATAAATTCTTGATTTTAAGGAGTTTCAAGGACGAAGACGACAATTTCAACAAGCACCACAAGTGATTGTTAGTTATCGAACACCACCAGAAGAATTAAAAGATATGCCTGATGCACGTACAGGAGATAATGTTGGTTATTTAACTTTTGGTATTACTAAATTTCTTTGTCAAAAAACAGAACAATAATTATTTGTTTGTTTCAGTACTTTTTCCACGTCATACAAAAGCAGCAGAACGTGATAATACAATAAATCTTATTCATACACTTCGAAATTATTTTCATTATCATATTAAATGTTGTAAAGTAAGTTTTCGATTTCTTCAAATAAGAGATAGGCTGAAACTTTTGCCAGAAAATATTTGACTATTTTTTGCATATTTACATGCATTGGTAGTGTATTAGAAGCAGAATTTTTCTATGACTTTCGACTATTGATCTATAAATAAATCCTGAAAGAACTTCAAAAAGTTTTCTGAAGACACACAAATCTTATGGTGCTAAAGACAAGTCTGCTTCCTGTAGACATCAAATAAGTTCTGTAAATATTTCGCAGTTGAGGATAATCTCTACTCTACAAAATGACGCAACAATAGAAAGTTTTGGTTAGCTTGTCAGAAAATGGTACAATTGCGGCGATGAATGATTTTGTGCTGAATATGCGAAAATCAGGAAAAATAGTCATTTTTCTTGTGATAGACTTTATAGAAGTTTTTACTGCATCTAAACAGTTTGCAATAAAATGTACCGCTTTATAAAAAATTCTTTTTAGAATCTTCCAAAATATTCGATAAAATCTTGTAACATATCATGAATAAGTTTCATTTGGGGCTTTCCTTCAAAAAAAAAATTTTTTTTGTATCTTTTCAAGATTCACTTATAGCTCATTAGTCAATATTCACAGAATAATTCTGATTCTAATACACTACTTAATGGATTTAAATACATGAGCAAAAGTCAAATATTTAGCTTAGAAACTTTTAGCTCACCTCTTATTTATTTTGTTTTATTTGTTATCTTTAGGCATATTTACATGCACATATGCGTCATAAAACAAATGAATTCTTAAAACGACTTCAATTAGCTCGACCAGAAGTTAAAAAGAATTTTCGACGTGGTGAATCAAATTTAGCTAGTATGTTAAAACGAAAAATACTTTTTTTTCATAAAATCTTTTATTTCATTTAGGTGATACACCAAGTGGTATAGAATAAAATTTTCTTTATCAAAACAATTTGTGATTCCGTTTTTTTATTTTAATAACCGGCTGATTTGCACGTAGCTGTTAATTTATCTCTTATATGTGTGTGTGTGTATAGCTTTTCATTGATTATGATAATAAAAAAGAAAAAGAAACAAAGGAGAGAAGAATTTATTAAATATATTGTATGTTCGCATGAAGAAATTCACAATCACGATATTTTCCTTGAGAATTATTAAGAAAACGACATAGACAAATAAATGGAGAATTATATAGAATTGAATTTTTATAGAATATATTAATACAATGAGTAGTAACATTTAAAGATGCATATTTAGCTTGACATTTGAAATGACCACGATGTTCATTATTACAACCATTATGACCACTAGAAATTAATTCGAAAAGACCACCAATCCAACCACCCATTGTTACACCTTTTATATTCCTATGAGAAATGATCGAGAGATTCATCATAAGAAAATAATAATTATATATTTTCAATTATTTATGTTGAGAAAATATTATTATATATGTTAACTTACCAATAATAATTATTGTACAATAGGCAACACAATAAGCAGCATTATTAAATTGTTGTCGTTCATCATCTTCTTGTCTATATTAACATATAAGTTTAATCTCAACTATGAATATGAATATAAATCAATACCTAAAAAATCTTTTAAAATTTTTTTGTTGTCTTGTATAATATTGTTTGTTGAATGGATCTATGACATGAGTATGTTTTTTCTGTTTCAATCGATCGAAATGAAATTGTGATAGTTTTTTACGTTTATCAATCGGTGTGTTTATAACTATTTGTTGTTGCTGTTTGTGGATATCTCTAAATGTAACAGTATTGTTGAGTAATGGTTTTTGTTCAAGAATTATATGTTTATGAGGTATTGCTTGTTGTCGAATAGTATGTAACGACGATTCACTTGTGGTTTTTGAGTTTCGTTCACCTCGCATACGTTTGAGCAGATAAGATATATTGTACGGATTATCTGAAGATGTCTTTGCTGATGTCATAGAAACAGACTCGGAGATAGTACTATGCCGAATGCTTGACAATGATATTGAAGATATTGAATGTTTATGAGACATTATTGAATAATAATAGGAAACATAGAAGTTATTTTAAAGTAGAAGAATGTTTATTATAATTCTCTATTTTATAATTAATTTTCGAGTATTGTATCTAGACAACCACGAATATTAAATAATATAGCTAGATTTTCTTTTTATAATAATTGATAATCATGATCAAATAGGATAACATCGATTATTAAGTTAGTCATACAATAGATTTTATCTATCTGTTCGTTATTCATCAAGTCATAACATTCATCAGATGAAAATTTCTTTTTTGTTATATAGCTTTATTTTTGCTTTCATATTTCTAAAGGTTACACATGCACATATTTTTATCGTAATAAATATTAGTTTAACATAGTATTGCAACATGATACATCATTTTATGAATATATTTAAGATGCGATTGAATGAATTTACAATGAGTATATCGAATTCAAGAAGAAGTTTTTTAAAGAAATTGAAAGATCGGTATCGTTTTTTGGAAATAAATAAGTTGATACGCATTGTTATAATATCATTCTCAGTTTTTATCAGAGCTACTTTTATTACAGAATAATTGATTCTTAATATTACAATCTTCATCACTTAATGGTATCTCACTAACATAAATCTTGTAGAGTCATCATCTTTATTTTGAAACCATTAGGATTTCGATAATAATTTACGAAAATCACTATGAATTCAATGATATATATTTCTTGTTATTCTATTTTGCGTATATCACTCATTTCTCGATAACACATTTGTTTCTCAAGAGAAAAATTTGCATATGTTCGCAGCAAGCTATTTAATACGAAGTACATGAAATCTCATAAAAATTTTTGATACTTTAATAATAAATAGCTGTTTTGGCTACTGTCTAAAAAAATCGATTTTCTAAGAAATCATTCTAAATTGATCGATCATGAATAATTCAGCATAATAAAGATGAACTTAATAGTTAAACAGTTTTGTAGAAGATTTCGTCTTGTCAGATAGCAAATAGGCTTGATCAGTAGAAGAAAAAGTAACTACAGCAAATATGTGATACTTTTTGCTTTTTAAAATAGAATAGTTTTATTTACTAATGCAAATAACCTTCATGATTAACATATGGTACATATTTTTGGCATGAGAATAAAAGCATTTTGCTTGGCGTCAGAATCACCACTTATACAAGTGCCTAGACAGAGGACAGTGATCCATTTTTCTTGGGTTTTTTTTTTCTTTTGTCATTTTAATATTCTTTTAACTGATGTTTCTTTGTAGAATTACTTTTTTCCTTAAACTGAGTTTCTTTGTTCTCTTTACTTTCTTTTGTTTTATGAAGAATTTGAGTTTCTTTTTTTTTCAGAAAGAAATGACATAGTAGACCACTTAAACAAAATGACTTCATCATGCTAACAATTAAAATCTATCGTCTTACGTCATCTGCATTTTTTTTCTTTACGCGCTGAGAGCGAGATGCTAACAGAAAATAAAATGTAAATTAAATACTATGCTCCCTGCTTTTACGTATCAAACTTGCAAGAGTCGATAGAAATAGAATCTTATATACGCCGATACAATTATAAACCATTACCTTTAGATAAAAATGCATCGCTTCACTATCTTTAATCATATACCAACATAAGGTTCATCTGTCTATAGTTTTTGAGCTTATTCATTATGTCCTCTTGGATAAGCTCTTGAACCCATTATACTTGAAATCTAGGACTCAGATCATTGTATCAAAATAGGAAGAAGTGAATGTCATTTCTTTTGAAAATTCATCTTACACATGATGAACTAGTATCACTTTACCTATACATGATGAATAGGGGGAAAAGCAAATCTTTATCAAGAACGTAATACAATACTGTGAATAAAAGATCGTTCAGTTTTGATACCAATAGCATGAATATCTTCAATTGTTAGACAAATTCCAATAAAAAAAACTATTGAGTCTTCAACAAACTTGTAGTGTGATATTAATGATAACATAAGTAAAAAACATTCAGAAAATAATGAAATGACTTAGTGGACTCTTAGCTCATGTTCATACTGGTCCTACATTGTCAAAAGTGTCTTAGATTCCAATTTCAAGTAATTTATGATCGACGCAAAGAACGGAAAAGGCAAAAGAACTAGTATCTATTTTCCGGAAGAGAAGAAAATTATTCTTAGTATAGGCACGCGACTTCGTGTTAATAAAAATACACTGGGTTAATCATCAATAAATCGTGTACATTTGCTTGTATTGATGTATGTATATGAAGAAGAACTGACAGTCTCATTGATAGACATTACTGTCATGCAATCAAATAAAAGTCCAACTGGCAAATGAATTGTTATGAGAAATGAAATATTTAATTATGGTTGGTAGTTTCCAGGATATTAAGAGTCAGTAGTAAATAATAACTTTTCAACATTTAACGTTCACAGACACGATAATGAAGATAGATACAATAACTGATATACACAATTGTTAGTCCAGAGATTATGTTTCTTTGGTGTCAATCAATATATGAGAAATTGTATACATTACTCAGAAATTCGCAGAAACGACATTAGAAAAATGAGAAAAATAACAGCAAAAATACATTACAGTATGCCGACGGAAACGAATACATCGATGATTGAATCAGCAAAAATAAAGAAGGTCAAGGCATTTGTACATGGAAAACTGGCAATTGTTATGAGAACACTCGTTTACAAATATCTTGCTATTATATGTTGTGACAATGAGTAGATAATAGAACGTAAACAATGCAATGATTTAACAGTTTCTGAGACAGTACAAGAATAATGAGAACTGAGTTAAAGAAGGGATATAATCGATTGGTAACTTTATTCTTTGATTTTAAAATAGTCTTGATTGCAAACACTGCCTATGTGCATTTTTTCCTGTTTCATGTTTTTTTCAATGTAAGTTGATTCGTTCGACAATAAAACATTTAACATTGATTAATTTCAGAAGTTATAGTTTTGAATAGAGCATGAATGGAAACAAAGATATAAGAATAAAATTATGGCAAGAAAAAAAGCGGTTCACGTGTTATACATAGAAGAAGTAAAATCATGAGACTTTATGTATAAAAATAGTCAGAGTATCGTTAAAAGTGCATTGCCGATATTTTATCAAATCTTCGTTTTTATGAAATTTTGACACTGTTTATACACAGACATTCATCGAAAAATGAGCCACTGAATTGATAAATCGATATGTTTTGTTTCCATGATGAACTTAGGTCAAATCTTTATATTTTTAATGGATATGATTGCACTTTAAAATACTATATATAGTAGAAAGTTTTTGAGAATTGTAAATATGACTAACAATATTTGTAATTGAAGTATACATAACTTGAAAGTGATTGATTTATATAAACAGAATTTTGAGAAAGTTTAAAATTGTCTCAAGTATCTATCAGTTATTATTGAGAGACAAAAAGTGATAAGATATAATAGCATTAAACTTACATTTTCAAGATTCTTATTTTGAATCAATAAAGTTATTTTCAGAACAAATATACTCTCACTATCATTTCCTTTTTCATTAAGCTTTTGTTGAACTATACACACACACACTAAATGAACAATATTATTTAGAAAGCACTATAGACACGATAAAGTGATTCAATAATTTTTGTTACTGAAATATTGTCTATACTATTAAGAAATGTATTACATTATGGCTTGATGTTCCTATGGTACTTAGATGAATATTTTTCATAACTACATTTAATGCAAAATAATATAAGTTTATTATATGGTTGATTCGACACGTTTTATATGAATTTATATATGTCATTTTTTTTTTGTGATTAACGGTATTAAATGTTAATTTATCAAGCTATTTACTTTTTAATTATGGAATACTGAAATGAACACAAATTTCTTTTAAATAACTGACAGCAAAAAAAAAAATGAGAGCTTTCAAATTCGAATTTTTCATTATTAATCGAAAGTTTCTGGTACATTTTGTATGATAGTCAAAAATAAGTTACAACTTCGTCAATGAATTTTGAAAGTCATAAACATAAAATATCTATTCTGGCAATTTTATCATATGATTTAACAGAGAAAAATGTCACATCATCAAGTGAATAATTCTAGACACATCTACTAGTTATATATAAGAATCACTTATTGTACTGGATCTATAAAGGTATCATTCAAAGTCTTGTAAATTACTATGCAATGATATGAAACTTTATCTACAAAGTATATTTTTATGTAATGAAAACAATTACATATGCTATTCATTATATAAATATAGAAGTTTGATATGAATAACTCTGAAGAATTTCAACAGTCTCCAATGATTAATTCATTTGATGTTCTCTTAGAGTTAATAGCTTTACATATGTGCTCTTGACCTAATCATATAAGAAGACATATGCTTGAGTAATAAGTTTTTCCGTATAGAAAAAAAAAAGACATCTTTTGCACTATTCAAATATTTATTTATCGAAAACGTTCATGTGTCAAATGATAGATAAAGAGCCTAAATCTAATTAGATACTGGAAAGATTATACTTCCTTTTCTGTCATTCTTAATGTTTAGATATCTGATGGATAGAAGAGAAGTAATGGAAGCATTGAAAGGATAAAGAGCGATTACATATCATAGAGCTTAAATATCAGTGTCACGGGTCTATTACTATCATAATGACTGCTGAAGAGTAGTGTCCTCTCTCGATTCGGTATAATATTAATTTTCGTATTGTCCTTGCACTATACAGCACTTCTATATCCATAGACATCCTTTGATTAATTGGCTGTTATGATCTAATAATATGATTCGTGCACGCACAGTGATCGATTCTATTCTTTCGTTCTTTTCTACCTAGAGCATAAAATAAAAAACTTATCTTTTTTATTTTAATTTTATTTTAGACCAATTGACATTTATTCTAGAAACATGATATTTATCAATGAGTTTTACTTGTCATCATTTTTTATTTTCTTCTTTCATTTGGTTTTTATTGAAACAACTAAAATAGGATTGAACAATACAATGATTAATTCGAGTTTCATCATCAATATGACATTCAATGAAAATATAACAAGAATAATAACAACTAAAAAAACTTTATTCATTCAAGGACAAAAACTTATAAATAAAAGTTTTAGTAAAATGGAACGAAGTGCATTTACATGGAGTATAATTGCGTTTGTTATTATTACTTGTCTTATTTTAATGTATATTGGAATAAAACATTTTATGTAAGTGACTCCGTTAAGTTGAAATTATTAATTTTTGATTGAACAAAAAAAGAACAAAAATTTGATTCTTATTCTAGCTTACGTAAAAAGCGTCAAATAAAAAGATATAAGCTACTCAAGAGTAGCACTACAATGGAAGAATCTCTCTTCAATGGGCATAATAATGAAGAAGAAGAAAATGATGATGACACATTGCTCGTTCGCAAATAAATGAATCAAACAGAACAGTCTTTTTTCTAGCTTTTTTTTTTCTCTTCTCTTCTCTTCTCGTCCTTCTCTTTTTTTTTCTCTAGTTCTATATCGAATGTTATTCTCATTCTGCTGTCATTTTTTTCTCTTAAGTTACACAGATTATTATGATGATTGCTCTTGTTGTACGTTAATGAGTATTTCATTTTTTGATTTAATAAACATATTTTTGGTCATCATTCTAATGATAATTTATATATCACTTTTCCAGTCTATTTCGTCAGATATTATGTATTTTCTTATTCTTTTGTACGAATGATTGAGCAATTTAAACAGTTAAACAAGCGTAAGTTATGGTATCAGATAAGTACATTGAAGATGACAAATGAATATAATAGTATCAATTTTTTTTCTTCGTCTCCTATAGAATATTACTTTCATTTAGGTGTAATGTGTGATTTAATATTTTCGAATAAAGCATAGCTTGTTGTCGAATAATACAATAGCATTATGGTTGAAGAAGACACTTTGATAGACCTGACATGATTATTATAGACATCCAATGAAAAGCAAAAAATTCAGTAAGATAAAAGGTCTATAATTGAACGTTTTCATCCGATAGGAAATGCGTTTCGAGGCGTAAGATTATGCCTGACTAATGTTGCAGAAACATCTTTTTGCTTTTATTTGTCTATACATTTAATATATTGATGTGAATTTACATCCATATCTACTAGTCTTTGTTCTAGACATATCTGTTTCATATAAGCAATGACTTCAAACATGAATGAAGACCTTGCCGAAATTGTTATTTTGTCAGCAATACGAACGCCTATTGGCGCATTAAAGGGATGTTTATCAGCGCTCAAAGCTCATCAGCTTGGTGCAGTAGCAATTAAAGGTGCATTGGCTAAATTGAATGGTACCATATTACCAGATGAAATAAATGAAGTTATCATGGGTCAAGTATTGACAGCAAATGAAGGTCAAAATCCAGCACGACAAGCAGCACGTAATGGTGGCTTACCATATCTTGTACCAGCAACCACAGTTAATATGGCTTGTGGTTCAGGCTTGAAAGCAGTCATTCTCGGTGCCCAAGCTATTCGTGCAGGTGAAGCTTATATTGTAGTTGCTGGTGGACAAGAAAGTATGAGTCAAGCACCACATTGTGTCTCAATGAGACATGCAAAGAAAATGGGTGATACTACTCTTATTGATTCAATGGTTCATGATGGGTAAAACAAATAATTAATCTATTAAAATTTTTATCATTGATTTTTTTCAGACTAATAGATGCATTCAATCATATTCATATGGGTATTACAGGTAAATAAAGATGATTATAAATAATTCCATAGTATATTATATGTCTGATAGCCGAGAACGTCGCGGAAGCACGTAGTGTTACACGACAAGAACAAGATGAATTTGCTTTACAATCCCAACTCAAATATGAACGAGCCACATCCTTGGGACATTTCGATACAGAAATAGAACCGATTATTATTTCTACTGTGAAAAGTATATCAATTATTTTTTTTTTAACATAAAATTTTCATTTTTTGTTGTTCTCTAAGATGATATTGAAATACGATATGACGAATGTTCACGAAGAGGAATGTCCATTGATGGTCTGTCTAAAATGAAGACAGTGTTCAAAGAAGGTAAATGTCTTATATTCAAAATAATTAAATATCTATTCTATATTTTGTTATTCTCAGCTGGAACGGTAACTGCAGGCAATGCATCAGGTTTCTTTCTACTTCGTTTGTTATTTAATCATCTTGATTGTTTGTTGTTGTTTTTTTTCGTTCATGTTGAATAGATCTTAATGATGGAGCTGCTGCTATTATTCTTTGCTCAAATCGTGTTGCTAAATTAAAACAACAAATTCCTTTAGTAAGAATTGTCTCATGGGCACAAACAGGTATTGATCCACTTATTATGGTAAATATCTTGCGTTTTATTTAAAAATAAAAAAATATTATTTTTTTAATTTTAATTAGGGTTTAGCACCAATTAAAGCTATTCAAGAAGCTTTACGTAAAGCAAATTGGTCGATTGATTCAGTTGATTTATTTGAATTGAATGAAGCATATGCTGCTCAAACTGTAGCTATTATTCGAGAACTTCGTATTGATTCTGAAAAAGTCTTTGATTGTTTTACAAAGATTTATTATTCAATTTTTAATTTATTATAGGTTAATGTAAATGGAGGTGCCATTGCTCTTGGTCATCCAATTGGTGCTTCTGGTGCCCGAATTCTAGTCACATTGATACATACACTTAAACGGACAGGTTTACAACGAGGTTGTGCTGCTTTATCTATTGGTGGTGGTATGGGCATTGCAATATGTATTGAAGCTTGTTAGTATTTCATTTATTAAGGTATCCTAGAAAACTTTATCTAGTCATCGTTATTTGTTTTTAATACCCATATTTGTGGTCATTCTTTGGAACTTTAGCGTCATTTTTTTCCGTAAAAGACTTTTTTGAACAATTACTAGATTTTCTGATTACCTTGAAAGTAAAAATAATAAACCAATGGATATTTGTTAAATAATACGATATTGTTGTATTCTTTATTATAATTGTTTTCATTTTTTTTCCTTACATTGTATTTGATGAAATACAACATAGTTTTTTTTTCTTCTTCTCTTCATGATTTCGTAATGTAATAACAGTGCAAAAAACAAATACTAACGACAGACGTAAATGTAATAAATAAATATTATTTTTTTAATAGATTAGATGTTGATTGGTTTATTCTTTTTTAGTCATATACAATATGAAAACTTTTGGGTATAGAATGTTTTCAAAAGTTCTATTTATTGGTTAATTGTTTTCATGATTTTCTGTTAATTTTATTTTGTTTTTTTTTTTGGCGAAGTACATTTGGTATTTACATAGAAGTTTATAAAATCTTATTAACTGATAAAAACGCTAAATTGAGTGATTTATATTCATCGATGAAGGTCAGCAAAGCTTTTTTTTTTCCTCATGCCTTGAAGAGAGCACGTTTCTTTTTCTCATCAACATAGTTGAATGATTTAAGTGGCTCGATAAAAATCTTCTTCTCAGCTAAGTATACAATTCGAAGAATGCCTAATTGACATTTATTCACTTTTTCTGGCTTTCATAGGATGGTAATTATAGCATAGAAGCATAATAATTTAACAATTTCCTCGTCCGTTATTAGTTTAAATAACCGATATGAATTTTAGATTATTGAAGTACATCATAAATTAGTTCTATTGGCACGTTATTCCACACAAATAGTAATGTATTTATATTTTAAATTGCCAAAAAATCTTTATAGAATTTAAATTTTAATAAAGAATAATATACGTTGTTACTACACACTATTAGCTAAGAAAAGTTAAGAATTTAATGATTTATTTTCATGAATATATGAGCAATGTTCTCCAGAGAAATTGTTGATAGAATGCGCGAAGTAATAAACAGTGTACATGAATTCTATTGTTCAGATGCGTCCATCAATAAAATAGAATTACAATGTAAAATTATGTTTTATCGTAAGTATTTGTCATCTTTTGTTCGCTTTTAAAAGAGACAATTATATAATTTTCAGTGAAAACCATCCGTCTAAATATTCATATTGTTAATTATGTTTATCATTAGCATACAGCTACCGTCCTGGATGTATTCATTTTTGACGTTTCATATCCAATTTATAAAATGATTTTCACTGAAAATTGATCGATTATATCTTGTAATAGAAAATGACATGATTGTAAGACGCAAAAAAACAAACATAAATAAAAGTAACGAGTAATATATGCAGAAAAAAACAAGCCTTGATGGTAATTTTTCTATTATTCAAATATATGTTTCGATTCACTTACTAATGTTTATTTGAACAAATCAACATATTACATAATACGCAAATCAATTCAATGATTTCATTCACTCTCTTATCGTGCTTTTATTCTGTGCGTTTGATTTCCTCAATTAGCATGCACTTAAACAATAGTTAAATCTCGATCAAAGATAATTTAATATGTAATGGTATTTGTCATCATTATGTGAAGAAAAAGAAAATAAGTATAGATAGAACAATAAAATTTGACTTAGCTAATGCCATATTATATTTACGGTTTTTTTTCTCTGACATGAGAATCATATCTTGATTTAAAATAATCATAGAAAAAAAGTACGTAGAACATATAAAAATATGGAAATTTATACAATATCATAGTAATGAAATCTTAACAAAGAATTTCTATTCATTTATGCTTTAGTAATTATAATGCTGTATATTTATCTACTATATGATTATTAGTGCATCGACATTATTATAATATAAATAATTCAAATTGAATCTATGCACTACTATTTTTAGTTGAATTGAAAAATTTTTGTTTTCATATCAAAAAGTGTATATGCCATTTTATGTAAAAGAAAAATTAATTTATGATGAGTCCTATTCTATATGCGACAATCAAGCTCCGTGATATAGTATAGTTGCAAATAGATTGAGCATACGACATGTCTTATTTGATATGTAAGTGAGACTTTATTTGAAAATATCAATTAAGTTTGTTGTTTTATACATGAGAATTATGATCTTGTAATTGGCAAAATAGAAATGAGGACTAATAAAATTAGTGATATTATTCAATGAATCAGTGTTCAATATCGGAAGTTAAGAAAAAAGAATTACTGTTTGATGACTATTCAACAAACGATTTGATGTTCGAAGTGTTGAGCAAATCAGAATAGGTAAAGAAGATTTAGCGAAATTGAAGCAAAGAACACAGTAGTTATGTAATGTAGTGACAGTCAATGAGTGACATTTTTATCATAAATCAGCTGACCTTAAGCCATCAAATGTTATCTAAAGTCAAGCTTAGATAGTGTACTCTCTATACTTCGCCTATGTAGCTGGATATACGAAAGTTACTTGAAAAATTATTAGTCCCAATGCTCAAATTTTAAATTAGCAAGATAATTTTATTTCTATTAGAGAAAATTTATTCAGATAGAAGCCAACAAAATAACTAATAATTTATCCAAGAACAAAGAACATTAGACATAAATATAAATACGAATATTTTTGTAAACTCTTTCAGTTGTGCAAGAAGCCTTTAACAAAAGCAAGAGATAAATGATTTAAAAATTTGATCATACTTCATACAAGTTTTTCTTGTTGTGAGGCATTTTGTTGTTGCAATTTTCTCTATTTAACAATAAATATACCTTTCATCTTTGTTCAAAACATTTTGATAAATCCTAAAGATGAGTCTCAGCATTGAGTTATCGTTTATCGATGCGATCATCAACTTATTCATTCCATACATAGTCGATGCACCAAAACTAAAAGACCTAGTGATTGCTTCTTCAAAAAAAAAGAATTTGAGAAAGCAATAGGAACTTATTACTTCTCTCCATTTTCTACGCTTTCTCTTTAATATTAGAGTAAGACTACTTAATCCAACATATACACATTCGACACCACTCTGTTACTGTTGTAAGAGGATTGAATCATAGTCTAATGAGTTAGTTTGTTGTTATCGTAATATATACACTTCCCATCATATATATATATCTAACATGTGATTATTTAAGTAATACACAATTAACGTTTTTATTACTTTCAGTTGTCTCGTACTACAATAAGCGATCTTTAAATTTTACCGTTGAATCAGAATCAAAATTGTAATTGTAAATAGGCTCCCATCTCTCTAAGATTGACTAATTATATGATATATAACGAGTTTGATCAAAAGAACTACAATCTGATTTTTCAACATTCTAATGGTTGAAACTCAATGACTAATCTTCTTCGCTTTTAGTTTTTTTTTTAATTCAAAATCAAAATGTTTGAAAAACAAACAACTTTACCAATTACTTCACAATCAGAAAAAGATCAACTATCTACTAACATTAAACAATTAAATAATTTGAAGAACATCATCTTCATCTTCTCAGTCGATTGTTACATCTGTAATGTTTATAACAATACAATAATTGTTCAAATTTCAGATAACTTTTAACATGAATATCACGACGAGAATATAATAGTCAATGAACAGAACGTGATCGAAAAAAAAATTTGAGATTTTCATAAATTGTTTTGCGTAAATTTTTTCTTTTGAATAAAATTTAATATAATAATTTCAAGTTCGTAATGCACTTTCAAGAGATTAAATCGGCTTGTCCAAACGTAACGCTGTTACGTTTTTGACACACTGTTCTTCAATTAACTCGGAAGGTTTAACAGCTAGAAAGTTCATTCAAACGCCATTCGACACAACTAATCAAACTCTATTTATGCTATAAGAACGACCTTTTTCGGCTGAAGTCTCGAACGTCTAGAAAGGTTTTATTATCGCGTAACGCTGTTACATAAAAAGACCCTTTTTTTCCAGTATTGCCGAGAAAACTCTAATTTCTAGCGAAACTATTTCTCCAAATGAAAACTTTCCAGAGTCAGTTTTGTACAGCATCGAACAAGCTTTTAGGCAGTAAAAAAGATTTTTCCTAAAGCATTTTTGCTCAGATGAAAAATGCAAAATACAAACGTAACGCTGTTACACAGTTTTTTGTGGACTANCAAATATATCTAAAATAGTTTTAGGGTCTAGTCATATATGGTTTTGTAGAGAATTTCAAGCACTATCTTTTGATAAAAAAAGAATGTTTTAATCAAAGGGATAATAGAGGAGAAATCTTAAAAATACACAGAGGTCGGTTCTTTATGCCCCACCCGTTACATCATAGTATCTACAAAAAAGAATACGAATATATGTTTACAAGTTACTTTTGTGTAATTCTCATATTTATCTAAGACTTTTAATTGTCTCGATGAAAGTATCAAAATAATAGATGAAATCTAATAAAAATGGATATTTACGTCCAATAATGGAAAAACTTTATATTTCAATATTTTCGGTCGATGAAATGATTGCTGTTATGCATATCAATAAGTGTATCGGAGTTGTAGATATTTTTAGACTTATATTGGCACAGGAGTGTTATTCAAATTTATGGAAATTTTCCTCTACAAAAAACCTATGAGACTTTTATTACAAACTGCTTAGCTTAAGTTAATCTAATGGTGCATAAAGTTGATTAGAATGAAAAATACTCAAATCTCGATTAAAAATTTGAAAAAATTGAAATATCAATTGAGACTTAAATATTTTTCAGTCTAATTTGTTTTACACACAGTTAGAAGAACCTAAGATGAGTGGTTCACCATAAAACGTTTTCATCTTTTCCAGCTATATTTCTGCCTCCGTACATGCCTATATGTTTCCTGAAATCAACTACGCAGTAAAATATTTTCAATATAAAAAACTTAATTATTATTTGATATTTAGCAATGTTTACACAATTTATTTAACATAATCAATTAGCTAAAACTCATAACTAGGTGTATGTTGTCTTTGGATAACATCTCAGATTTCATGATAATTTCTTATTTCGAGAAGATCTATATTCATTGATTTCTTCATTCTTTAGTTACAAAAAATGAAAATGCATGTGATTGTATTTATTTAATACACTCGTTCTTTTATACTGTTTGCGAAAGAAAAAACAAACAGAAGAAAAAGCAAGTATTGAGAAAAGAAAAAAAGATATAATCACACTATTAAATAGAATATCGATCGCAGACAAAAATAAAAAGTTAAGCTGTACATTCAAACGCACACTCATTCACAGAGTGTAACTAAAGAAATTAATATTCACAATGAATGACAACAACTAAGTAGGATATGTCAAGAAATAATTGTCGAAGTTTCTTCTCTATTGTTTCTTTCGTTCGTTGTTCTTTCTGTTGTAATGGTCGTTTGTGTTATTATATTTTGATCAACAAATATATGAACAAGTTGTGCTTCAATAACAGGTAATTCAAAATGATGAAAAAAATATAACATTGAATGAAAAATAAAACAACAACTTGTTGTCAATGCTAAAGCAGAATATTGACCATTGTAACGTGCATGGTATGCATAGAATGCAAAATGATATATATAAAAAAATCTTCAATAAAAAAAAAAGAAGAAGCAAATAATAGTTAACTCATTTCCAAAAATATAAATATAAAAAAGAAAACTTACCGAACCCAATGACGTTTACTCATTAATGTATGACAACAAATACTTTCGTATTGGTCCGATATCCAGACGACAAGAATTACATAGAAAGCTGAATTAACAAAGAAAAAAAAAAGCTATTAGCACAATTCCTACAGAATTAAAATTTACAACATGATATAGCCGCTGTTGTTCAATCAAAAAGAAATTGTTTTATTCTGTCTATTTTTGAGACACATTTTTTCGTTAACTTTTTACTTAACCCTCCAGAAATGTAACAATGAAGCAGTTCATTTAATATAACGAGACGTTATTGATATACCGTTTTTGACCGTATATGAATAAAATCTGTAACGTGGGGTGGGTGCAGAGTTGGAGCCGGTCCGGCAAACCGGCACCGGACCGGTTGAGATGGCCAAACCGGCCGGTCTGTGCCGGTTTAGAATCTTTTTAGATATATCATTTTTCTTTGATAAAACATGTTGAAAGCAAGTTTAAATGCATCTATCAAAATAATCAAACAGTATTATTCAGAATTTATCAATATGTTAGAGACTAGATTTGAGTTTGAACTGTCGTTCTAAAAGAAACATAAGGTTTTTTAGTAAAATTTAGGTGAAAAAATTCAAGATTCGTAGTTTAGCAATCAGTTGTCGGGTAAATTGACTCCTTTTTTGCGTCAGAGAAACATCACATATTCATTTCTCAGAAACCTTAAAAAAATAAACGACTATGACATGATATTTTCTCTTAAAGCTTCCTAAAATAGCAGCAAAAAAGGAAACTGAATGGTTTTAAAGCCAATTTGTTTAACCGATTAAAAATGATTTGGCAAGCCGGCCGATTTTTACCGGTCTGAAAAAGCGTTTAGAACCGGCCCGATCTGAAATTTGAACCTGCCCGGTTCGGATATTCCCGACCGGTTCCAACTCTGTGTGGATGAGTGTTCCTAAGGCATCTATCACGGTCTGTGGTGAAGGAAAGGCGTTGCTAGGAATGTCTATTACTTCTGTGATGTGTCGTTGCTAAGAAGTCTGTCAAGTGTGTAATGAGCCGTTTTTAACGTGCCTGTCACGGTATGTGCTGTTTTCATGGTAATGTTTGTCACGATCTGAAGAAGAGAGGATGCAAACTTCTACCCTATATACTTTAACACTTCTTTTAGATCATGTTCCATACAAAACTAAAATTGAGGTCACAGTATTTTATCCAGGTTTTTTCTTCGGAGGGACGATTTGACATTCCAGGAGGCCGAAACATGTTTTTCTGAGAACGGAGGGCAAGCAATATAGGTCATCGCGAGTCTCGGGATGGGGGGTTGGGGGTGGGGCACCGCCGCCCCGAGCACCCCTCTGGATAAAACACTCTGAGGTAAGTATAAAACAAATTTAATCACCTGTTGATGCGTCATTAAAAAATTCCGACATAATTGCTTCCATACCTTTACAAAAATAAAGAAGATAAATTCTTTGAAACAAAAAAAAGAATTTGTTTTTATACCGATAAGTGCCAATATGACAGTCAGTAATGGAGCAGCAGGAAATACGACTGATGTATTATGTTCAATCATGCGTAAAAGATCAACTAAAACATAAAGTTGAATTTCTAGAAAAACGGAAAGATTGAATTTCGAAATTTTTATTTACTGATAAAAAGAAATATTTGAAAATGTGAATATCGAAGAAGCATTGAAATACTAATTGTCTAATAAAAAGAAATTTTATATTTATAATAGAACGTTTTTGTTTATTTTTTTTTTTCTGTTTTAACTTACAAAAACAACCATGATACATAAAGCGACTGAATATGTCCACCATCGATGATTTTGCAATGAACTGACAAAACGAAAATGATCATTAGTCATCACATTTCGAACATAACCTAAAGAATGTTCTTTTTTTCGACTATAATGATTTGAAGTACATATGATATTTAATTTACCTTTATTAGTTTCTTTTTCAGCTAATTGTTTTATACTAGACATTAGGATTTCTTCATATCCAATAAAATGATCAAGCATAAATCGACTAAGACCACCACCAAAACATGTATTATTTGTTATATCTTTATCAAAGAAAACAACAAACAAATAAAATGATATATAATTTATTGATTATGTATTTTCAAATTATAAAAATTCGAAGGAATGCTTCGTTTTATGTACTCAAATAATATATGACAAAGAAAATATCGTGATGATAAAAATTATTCTGAAATTTTTGTTTTCACTATCAATCAACAATAAATTAGTATTCGAAAAAAATGGAAAAGTTCAAAAGATACATTGAAACTCTTACTATCTACTCTCGGAATACAAGAACATTTTATTCATATGAATTCGGGATATAACTATATAACTAAACAAGAATAGTTTTTTCTTAGTAAAAATTATTCGTATGATTAGTAAAATCGAATGTGTATCTTATTGACATTTAGAACTAACTCGATGATAGTATCACCAACAAAGGAAAAAACGAACATTATTTTTCAATGAAATAATACTTTAGAAGAAAGAACTTAGGAACTTTTCTTTATCAAACTAAAATTATTATTTCAAAAAACTTGTTGTCAACTTTCTTCACATCATTTTGATACTGACTATAACTAATTTTATCGAACTCAATAAATTTCATAGATAAAGATGCTCGCTAAATTGTTCTAATCAATGACGACACTTCAATTTCGATATATATATGAGATATTGAGACGGATTCAGAACATAAAAGTAGATATTTAGAGAAAAGCTCGATAACAGAAGTTTTTAAATGATGATTATAACTTTTTAAGGAAAACTTTCTATGATGACATATTATTGGAAAGTAAGACCAGCGGTCTTTTCTTTTGCTGAAATTATTATCAAGCTAGTGCTAAGTGTCAGCAATACGTACAGTAAATTTTATTATTCGTACGACTCAGTTTTGCTGTCACTGTACTTGTTAAGGAGAAAATTCGCATTGCTTTTGAGTCGGAACTATGTGCATTATGCAAGTTATAATAAGCTATGAATGTCCTTTAAAAGATTTGAGCTGCTAATTTATTACTGTCTAGATGCTGGATTTTTACAGTATTTTTAAAAACAATGTCATAACGGTATTTAGAAGCAACAGGGAAACTGAGTTTCGAATTTCGACATGAAACTTTGTAAATGAACAGCTCTCAATTATATATAAGAACAATAAAAATATGCAATTATCATAGTCTTATTTTTGAAAATCAGCAATTACAAGACCTGAAACTTACATAATATACTATTCTTGCTGAGAGCTATTCTTGTGCAAAATTTCAAGTCAAAAATCAGAACTCTGTTGTCGTAATATTTTTAAGAGAGACTACAGCATTGTTCTTAAAGGTACTGTCAAAATGCAGTATCTCAATAGTAATAAGAAAGCAATCCAGACCCTTTTCATGATATTCATATGTCATTTATGGCCTACACAATGCACATAGTCTTCTCTCAAAAGCATTTGGACTCTAGGAAAATTTGTCTTCAAAGTTTGAAAACTAGATATTTTTGTTGACAGTTAAATGAAGCATAACGATAAAAGGATTCGTTGAGTAGAAGAATTATTTGAGATAAAGTGAAAATATACAGAATGAATCATGATTGACGTTTTACAAGAGCATAAAAATTTTGATTTGTTATCTCTTATGGTTTTTGTGATCGCCATGACTTAGTGGCTCCTTTGTTCAACACACGCCCACAAGGTACTGTGTTACTAGTCATGAAATGCCTCTGAGCAAGCCACTAACAGCTCTTTGTCTCGAATCACCCATTCAATAGTATACTGACGTTGTTTTGACATACATCTGCTCTTATCGATAATATGCTATGCGAAGCTTATGCAACTGAACACAAAAACTTTATATCAGGTTATTAAATCTGCCGCAAGACTTTATTCAATACTACAAGATAACCAAAAGGTAGATGTATTCTTCGTTCCTTCTTTTTATCAATTTTGAATATTGGAATAAAATATAAAGAAGAAAATGTTTGTTTATTTTTCCTACCTAATGGAACCAGTAGAACTTCAATTTTAAGTCGTTGTCGAGTTTCTGGTGGTAAACGTAAAAATCCATATTCAAGTGAATATTCAAAAATATATTGTTCTTCAAGTAATAATTGTTGAAGCCAATCAAAATTAAATAAATAATCATGAAGAGCACTAAATAACGATTCATCCTCGTCTTCATCATTATCATCATCGAATTGATCAATATGGATTGATCGAGAACTATCATTCATTATTTCATTTAGTGAATTATTTATTAATAAATTATTCCAAGGTTTAATTGGAGACATTAATGAAAAATTAACGCTCATATTAGGATAAGATTCTTCTAATACAGGTTTTTCTAATGGTCCAATTGAAATATCAGCTACTGGAAGATTCTTTAATGGTAAAGAAGCAATAATTCAATTTGTTCAGAAAAAAAAGTATTCTTCTTACATTTAATGATTGTTTTGATGACGATGAATTTTCATTATTATCATCGCGATGATAAATATGATTATTTTGATATTCTTTAGCATATGATTGTTGAAGATTGTAATCTTCCGGTGGTGTTTCTAAAAAAAGTTCAACACGAAGTACACCGTCTTTTGGCCATACATTATGTAAATGAGATAGACATGTCATTGGTTTTTGATTGAATACAACATGAAAATAAATAAGTAAACCCAAACAAAATATGGCCTAAAATTTCAAAAAAAAAGAAAAATTATTCTTTGATAAATGAATTTATATACGATAAATACCATAATAAGTATCGCAGTTTCTCCTAATCGACGAATATAATTCGGAATGACTCGAGCATAAATAACAGCAATACGATAAAACAATGCTTGAAAAAGTCGTTCCATTGTGTCACCATCGGCAATTTGTGGTGGAATTCTAGGCTGTCGTTGTGGTATTACATGCACCGGTGTTACTCTATCTGTAGGAATATCCGACATCACATTGGTCTAATGCAATTGATAGTTAAAGAAAAATGGAGAAAAAAAAATATCTAGAAAAATAATAGAAACTATTTTAACTAAATCAACATTAAATATGACTTTTCTCAAATCTATGAAAACTAAAATGATATACACGATGAGCCATAAATAGTTCTACGATAAAAAATTGACGTATCTCCGTTTCGATCAAATGGTCAAAGTTTTTATTAGTAGTGATAGTGATCGAATACTTATTTAAAGCCATTCTTTCATACGAATAACGTAAACACTTATTACTGCTAAGTTATAATTTTGACATTACTAAATATATTTCTCCAATTGCTAAGTAAGAAATATATATATAAAACATTTGATAGATAATTTTCAATTGTTATCGACGAGAATAATAATAAGACATCAAAGTTAGTCAGTTTATAAATGCTGAAATTTGTGCCTCTTAAAAGTAAAGAGTACACTTGTAGCCATTTACGCACTAAAACATCAATTTTCTTGTAAAGACTAGTGTTCTATATGTAAATGTTCGAAATTTTGCAATACTTGACTTTTAATTTAATTAATTCTGAAAATTTTCTCTATTTGTATCAATATAGTATCATTCATAAAGTTCGTTTTGACTTCTTATTATTTTCTCACGAGAGAAGTTCTGTAGTTGCTGAATTACTTTTGAATGGACACTATGTAGAACCAAATGAGTTAGAAATACTCTGAAAAGAGTTCATGCTCGTAGCACATTGCTACGGAGATACTGTAGTTTTATCGTCGTTTTTAAGTGAATCCCATACTAATAGCAAAATTTATTTTAGAATTTTGACTTGAAACTTTGCACAAAGGCAAACCTTAACGAGAATAACTTTGTTTTGAATGTTTCAGTCTTGTCGCTGTTTCTATCCGAAGATACAACTATAGTAATAGCGTAACTTTTATATCGCTCAGAGATGAGCAGCTCCGACTCCGGAGCGGCCGCTCCATGGAGCTAGCTCCGCTTCGGGAGCGGAAAAATGTCAGACGAATACCACGAACTGTGGTTTTTCCTTTTCCATTTGCATCTTTCATAACGGAAATTGAATCTCATTAATTTATACAAAAGTTGGTCTGTACAGGAACCAAAAAAAGTAAAGTTTTCTAATGAAATAATGGCCATTTATTTTTGTTGGAGCGGAGCTACTGAGAGAATGCCTGGAGCTGGAGCTGAACTGGAGCGAGGAAAGATCGGAGCTGCCCATCTCTGATATCGCTCATATAAATTGACACATTTGATGTTCTTATTTCAGGATAGAAATAGACCAAAAGATCTGAAACTTTCACAATAAGCTAATATCTCATCACGACCTGTTTCTATGCAAAGTTTCAAGTCGAAATTCGAAAATCAGTTGTTCTATTAGCATGCTATTCATTTAAAAAAAATAAACTACAAGCGCGGTATCTCGGCAGCAATAACCCAAGGACACGAACTCTTTTCAGATTATTTATAACTCATTTGAATGTACATAATCTCAACTTAAAAGTGATTGAACAATTGGAGAACTTTCCTCTTTAGATGACTATTAATAACAGATAAAATTCCTTTCATGATACTAACAATAGCACTAAATGGTAATACTTGGTTAACTTATTCGTATGAAAAAAAACCTTTGAATAAACATCTAATATTAACTAAAAAATTAGTCCATTTGATTAAACCAATATGAAGATACTTCATGCTTCTTTATTGTAGTACTATTCATGGCCCATCCTGTATAATTTGTTTTCATCAATATAATAACTCTTTTGTTCAATGGTCGATATTTATTTTGGATTAGAATTATATTATCATAAGAAGTATTTTTTTTTTCTTATTGTAAATTGATTAATTCATGACATTATTCTACTAAACATTGAAAATTTATAAATCATAAAATATAAACTCTTTCATTTATAAATAATGAAAATCGATAGAATAGACAAATAATATTGATCACCATCCCCTTAAACAAATAAAAAAAAATATATAATAGAAAAGAAACAAGTTCAATTTAATTGAAATTTTTTTGAACTAGATATTTAATTCTTTTTTTTCTCGACGAAATAGGCCTTTGGATTAATTTATCTCAATATTGAATACTCGCAGTTTTTATCTTTCGATCATTGAGACTAAATTGAATTATTAATTTGCTTTTTTCTTTTAATAGTACTATTCAATTTTATTTTCTCATGAGACCCATTTGATCAAATTTTATCGACAACAAACGAAGATTGAATTTTTATTTTGTTACATTGAGAATATATTAACTATGAATAATTTAAGTCTTATGTCTTATGATCATTTTTTGGATGAAGAAACATTGTCCTCCAAGAACAGTTTGTTTGATGTCATCATTGTTTAAAATCAATGATAAATACTATAAATAAAACAAAAGTGAATATAATATGCAATACAAGAATATAAGTTACATACGCATAAAATCAGATGGGTTTACGACTAATGAAATAATTGTAGTATGTCAACAATTTTTCGTCAAGTATCCGATATGGTTATATCGATAAATAAATTATATATTTTTTCTAGTAAATCGTATATCATTATTATAAGTTAATTATAGAATCAGTTCTTCTTTATATCCCAATTTGTAACTTATGCAAGCTTTGCTTGAATGTTCTCTCACATATGTCCTCTGTCACTGCAGTTAGCATAAATGTTTGTGAACCTTAGAGAAAAATTTTGGGAAAGATTTAGTTTGTTAGGCATCACTTATTTTTCTCGACACAGAAACGTTTTTATTCGATAAAAGATCATATTCAGAATTAATGCAAGAAATTTCAGCGAGCTATATTCCAGACTATTATTTTATAGAGAAATATTTTTCTTCCAAATTTCTTGCCATGAGATCCTCTTTAGCTAAATATTTCGAAAACTATTGCTTTTGCTTTTCATCATTCATAAGGTCTAGAGATAACAATTGTACAGATAACATCGGTGTCTACTCGTCAAAAATGTCATATCCAAATCATCAGTCAAAACTAACGATTATACACCATTAATGGCATCGTTTGTAAATAGGAGGAACTTCAGCCAAGATGTTATTTGTTAACTTTTTCACATTAATTTCTCGAATCCGAGTTTTAATTTTAATATTGTTGTGGCTATCGTCATTGATACTATATAAACTATCGAGAAAACCGACAAAAGAGTAATTCGTTTTGTTAAAATGATATTTCAGTCGGTTGATTCTGGGATCGATGATATTATAGATGCTTAATTATTTCTTTATAAATATTCAATCATAAAGATGGTATCATAGAACACATTCACACAATGAGAATACCTAGAAGATGAACGATTAAAAATATTATACTTTGAAATCGTTCCATATGGCAAAAAAAAAAGCATAAATATAGCAAAAATTACGGAGTGATCATCCTCATATTATTTTGATAAAACTGTATTAGACAAAAGAGACAATAACAACAACGAGCATTCTGATATTAAAAATTACATAAAGGTACAGGAAAGCATCATTTGCCATGTGACATTCGATGGATTGAATGCAGTAGAGAATGTCAAGAAGGAATGGAAAAAAAATTTCAATTTTCTTAAAGTAATTATAACTAACAAAACAGTTTACTTCCAGCTAAAATTAACCGATTCCAATATTTTTATCTGTTCGATAAGGACAATAATGAACAATTTCGAGAAACTGGAACAAAAAACTGATACATGTAATAATAGAATCTCTCATTCTTTCTTATTTCTTACCATCAGCATAGATTAAAAGTTGTATATTCAATTGATGAATAAAATAATTAGAAAATTAGTGCGAATAATAGACTGAACACATATTATCTGAAACCAAATAATTAAGAAAATAAAAGAAATGTAGAAAAGAATAAACACATAAGATATTATTTCGAATGAATAAAATAAAAATCTTTGCAAAGGAAACAATAATTATTCGTCGCAAATAAATAAAGTTGATTATTACCTTTAAAAAAAGTGAAAAAATTAGATTAGCTGGAATAATGAACGAATAGAAATCATGTCAGAAGAGGTCTCTGTAATATACTAACAGAAAATCTCAGTTCATTTTAGTCATAATGAATTAATTAACATATAAACAAGATGTCGATTATTTTACTGATTAACTTGACATTATATATTAAAACACGACAGTCCTCATTCTGCCATATTTTTCGTTTACGATATTTATCGGTCTACAAACTTAAGGTCGTTACTATTCTTATCGTATCAACGAATAAGTATTCATCATATTATCTGATTTATTTGTATATATATATATTATATGTTGGAAAAGTTGAAATAATTGCCAATAGTCCTGTGTCCTAAGCATTGATTCTTCTTCATGTCGCATGTTTATTCTCAGTACCCCTGGACTACTGCAGTACTTGTAAGAACTGGTGGTAGCTCTTACAACTTTCGATTCCGGCTGTAAATGTTTCCAGAAAGTTCTTTTTTCCCAAATTTGAATTTATTATTAGAAAGAATTCGAATTCGTCGAGAAAAAGAAATTTGAGAGTATATTTTACTAATAAAAGTTTTTGCAGCGTCATCTATTATCAGCAATCTATCTGAGATTGGCGACCATTTGTACTTTCTGTCTAGTACAGGCGGCTTAGGCTTATGATTGACCTCTGAAAAGAAACAAATATGAATAATAATCACGAAGCATTCAATATGTTAACTCACATGAAGTATGGTTGAACTGCTAAACGTCTTTTTCTTCTAGGAGAAGTATCTAGATTGGATTTGATAGAAGTAATGTAGCTAGAAAGTGTTTCGTCTAGTCTATTTACAACAGGTTTACTTCGCCTATGGTTCGAACGGGTAGTTGTGTTTACTTATGAAATAAGTAAGAAGATAACACTAAAACAAGCATTTGATGTAACCAAATGAGTCCGAACCCACATATATATCAGAAACGAATCGAACTCTGAATGGAGTATTGAAGAAAGATGACACGTCATGTTTGATGATACTGATCGTGTACCAGTCGTCAAGGGAC